AGAAAGAAAGAAAGAAAGAAAGAAAGAAAGAAAGAAAGAAAGAAAGAAAGAAAGAAAGAAAGAAAGAAAGAAAGAAAGAAAGAAAGAAAGAAAGAAATCTTGGGTAAAGCCACACTGGCAGAGACAGGATTTGAACTCAGACTTCCAGAGAGGGGCACTCCTTCGCAGACTGGCGGAATGAGGGAATCACCTTGCCCTGTGTCCTGTAGGGATGCGGCCCTTTATTCCGGACCAGGACATTGGCTACTTCGAGAGCTTCCTGGAGAGTGTGGGCATCCGTGAGGGTGGCATCCTTACCGACAGCTTCGGCCGCATCAAGCGCAGCATGAGCTCCACGTCTGCCTCTGCGGTGCGCAGCTATGACGGAGCCGCCCAGCGGCCCGAGGCGCAGACCTTCCACCAGCTGCTGGCCGACATTACACACGACATTGAGGCTCTGGCCCCCGACGACGACGTCTACGAGGATGTCTCCCCAAGCGGGGGCGATCAGGGTGAAGACAACTACCTGTAGCCCCTAGAGGCTCGTACACTTGCTCCTGGAACACCATCCTCTGACTGCGCAGACATCCTGGGTTCCCATCTGTGCCTTCTGGGCTTCGTTACTACAGATGGGTTTCCAGGGCTTCAGTTCCTGCAATACCAAGAACGTCCTGCAGATGGCTTTACTCTAAGGAGAGCCAGACCCTAGAGTTCTCTACAGGATGAAGAATCGCTCCACCTACTGGCGGACAGAAAAGATTTCCAATTCAAGCCCCAGTTTTCTGCACACCCTGCCCAACCTCAAAACAAAACCATTTTCAGAGAGCCCAGAGACCTCTCTTCAATTTTACAGGCTGAGAAACTGAGAAGTTTTGTTGTTGTTGTTGTTTTGTTTTGTTTTGTTTTGTTTTGTTTTGTTTTGTTTTGTTTTGTTTTGTTTTGTTTTGTTTTTTAAGGAATGAATATGAGGGAATGACCCTGTTCTTCTTGGATATCACTACCTATTTCCACATCTGTACAATAATTTCACCTCTTTTCACAAGTGGTCATCGGGATGAATGGCGGTCAAGACTTTAGTATTGAGGTCAAGACCTTAGCCTAGCATGCTGTAGATGCTCAATAAATGCTGTTTCTTTCCACTTGGAATGTTTTCTGACTCAGTTTACCTACCGTTTCTGGGAGCAGTGGGTGGAATGAGATGTCACAAAGACTGAAGGAGTTTATAGCCTGAAGAAGAAACAGGACTGGCCTTCACAGTGGTCTTAGAGCCTGGCCTTGCGCCCAAGCCCCAGACACACACCCAGGACTCTGCAGACGCTTGCCCTGGGGCTGGGCAAGCCAAAGAACTGTGCAGGTCGGTTCTGCTGTGAGCTATGGATGTTACGACAAGGCCAGCCCTTGGCACAGCCTGAGTGAGGACGGTGAGCCTTGAGAGGAGGCCAGACAGATACTTCTAGAAGAGATAAAATGTGTCTGCAAAACCTTGCTAAGCCTTCCATGGCCAAATATTTTCAAATCATGTGGTCACTGGGACTTAGTGTTCCAGATTCCCACTTGGTTTTGTGGCCGATGGCTGTCCCTTCATCACTGGGTCATGCAAGGCTCTCCTGGTGTTCTGCTTCATTCCTCCCCTGTCCATATTCTTCTCCACACCACAAACCCCAGCCCCACATGTCAAAACTCATCCCTGTGCATAAAACACACAATGCTGGGCTGAGAAGATCGTGCCGTGAGTAAAATGCCTACCTCGAAATTATGACAGCCTGAGTTCGAATCCCCAGCACCCATGTAAAAAGCCAGTGTGGTCACATATGTCTTTAACCTTAGCTGGGGTCGGGGGTACAGAGAGTGGCCAGCTAATCAGTAAGTGTGGGCGAGAGACCCTCAGCTCAGTGAGACGGCTCAGATTGTAAAGCACTTGTTACATAAGCCTGGCCACCTGAGTTCAAGCCCCAGAAACCCATATAAAGGTGGGGGGAGGAAACCAGCTGCACAAAGAGGTCTTCTGACCCCCACACATGAGCACGGTGGTGTCATCATGAGCATGGTGGCGTCATCACCACCACCCTGCATGTATGCATGCACAGACACTAAAAATAATAATTTTTTGTTGACAAAGAGAGACCCTTTCTTAAAAGGTAAGGCACAGAGAGACTGAAGAAGACACTCAGCATTGACCTCTGACCTCCACATGCATGCAAACCCAGACATGTACACATGCACATACATTTGGCAATGCTGTGTGCACATGAACACAGCATAAGTGACATTGGAATGGGTTCTAATTCCTCGACTTCCTTTCACAAATTTGTTGTTTTGCCGTTTGGGTTGGATGGTTGGTGGGGTGGTATTTTGTGTTGTTCTTGTTTTTTGATGGGATCTTGTTGTGCAGCCAAGGCTGCACCCAACTCAAGATCCTCCTGCCTCAGTCACTTGAGTGCTTGGATAATAGGTGTGCGGCACCATGCCTAGCTTACTCTGTAATGTTTTTAAGGTCCAGACACATTGTTGTGGGGAAACAGCTTATTGCATTCAACAGCTGCCAGATATTCCAAGTTAAGTATTCCCTCTCTTTTTCCAGTCCCGATGATGGAAAGCTTGCTTCCAACCCTCTCATACCACAAACGCTGCTGTGATGAGCATCTTTGGCCCTTGTGGACCCATGTGAAGATCCCTTTGAGCTCTGCCAGGAGTGGAATTAGTAGATCCCAGACACACGTGTGTAAATTTCACAAAACCCTTCCAGAATGGCCTATCCACAGCTTTCGAACAATGCTGTTGCCTTGCTCATCCATCTGTTTTCTCTAATGCCTGACTATAATATTTGTCTATCAGTTTGGATGTGGCATCTAAGCAGAACTCAGCCTCAAAATAAAAAGCCTAAGAAATACTGGGATATAGCTCAATAGTAGAATGTTTGCCTAGTATGCATGTGACTCTAAATTCAGTTCCCAGTAACATACACACACAAACACAAACACACACACACACACATACACACACCCAGACAAATACACATCTACCATGCATTCTTGCATTTCTGTGTTAATCCTGAGATCTGTGTTGTTGTTGTTTTGTTATTGTTGTTGTTTTGTTGTTGAGATAGTGCCTCATGTAACCCAGGCTGGCTTCAAACTTCTGATCCTCCTAAATTCTAGGATTAAAGATGTGCACTGCGTGCCTGGCTTGTGGAATGCTGAGCATCGTGAATGCCAGGTGAGCACTCTCCCAACTAAGCTACATCCCTAGCCGGCTCCTGGGATCTGAGGCCTCCTTCTGTACCTATTGGGCACTGGGCTTTCCCTGCTATGAACTGCTCCTTTACTGTTTGCTCACTTCCACTGGGTTTCGCGTGTTTTTTGCATTCATTTGCAAGAATAGCATTCACATTTTAGATATCACTCCGGTGTTGGATGTTGGTGTTCCACATATCGTCTCCCAAGATGTTGCCCATCTGTTAAGTTTCTCTGTAGCCTTGATTGACTGACTTCAGTGTGCCCTGGAGCCTCCAGGAAGGCTTGCTGGAACAGACTATTCAGCCACTTACCCAGAGTTCTTGACTTGGTAGGACAGAGTTGGGAAGGGAAGTTTACCCAGCCAACATGAACTCTAGTTGTGCTAGTGACGAGAAAACTCACGTGGAGAGCAGCTAGTCCACGGTGCTGACTGTTGAACAAATGTGTTCTACTGAACATGCTCTTTAATTCTGATGTTGACAGGTGTCTTTCCTTAGCTTGTGAGGAGTGGCCTGGAGATGAAGGAGGAGACCTCAAGAAGGAAGCCATGTTGCACAGTGAACTGCAATATGGACTTAATAACAGAGTTCGTTTTTCAGCCTTCCTCTGTCTTGCCTCCGACCCTAAAGGATGTGGCAATGCTAGCTAGGTCACACTTGGATCTGAGGCCCTCGGAGTCTTAGGAAGATACTGAGGGAGGCAGCCTCTCTTAAAAGTCTTCGGCTTTGCCGGGCGGTGGTGGCGCACGCCTTTAATCCCAGCACTCGGGAGGCAGAGGCAGGCGGATCTCTGTGAGTTCGAGGCCAGCCTGGTCTCCAAAGTG